TTTCTGTTGTGTTAGTTTTTTTTGTTTGGATTTCCCTCCCCCTCCCCCCCCTCCCGGCCGTTATGCCACATTTGAAATCTTCCTCAAAGGAATGGAAAAATAAAGTGCAAAGTGTGGGGAAAATGCTATTTATTCTGTCACAGTGAGGAGCTATAAGAGGAGGTGGTAAAAGAACTGAAACTAGAAAATGTTTTTAAGAAAAAAAATTTGCTAAACCCCTGTTATTTCCAAACTTTACCATTCTTTAATGCAACTCTTTTCTTTATAGGCAGATCTATTTAAAAAGCTTATTATCAGTATCCTGTCTTTTTTGTTCTTTTGCTTTGATATTGCTGATCCTGGAATACAACTGCAGCAGATTTTGGGTGAAGGGATCCCTGGTCTTATCCTCCACTCAGAGCAGGGCTTGCTTCAAGGTTGTATCAGGTTACTTAGGATCAGGTTTTGAACACTTCCACAGACAGACAGTTTGTAACCTACCTGGGTCACCTGTCCCAGCATTTGACCATCCCTGTGGTAAAAAATACTTTGCTTGTGTTGAAAGAACATGTTTACTTTTCCATTTAGACTTCTGACTTCACAATTTGTATTTCAGATTTTAGTATCATGAAGCTATTAGTTATCGCTTTATGTCATCAGGTTCTGCTCACTCTTGGGTAAGCCATGTGGGAGTAGTAAGAAGAGGGTAGCCCAGCAAACACATCATCTAGAGAAGTAAAGTATGGGGAGGAGTGTGAGTGCTGTTTCTAAGTTCACTAGAGGTGAAAGCAGCCAGTGAAGCTTCTTGGTGGTTTCGCTACTATATGTGTTCCAACTGGTCATAAACAAATCTAGCATAAAGTTAGATGAAGGTTGTTAGGGTGGGCAGATAAAAATCGGTTACTAGACTATTTGTGGTGAGATAATAGAAATTATTGTTGTAGATGGTGTTTTCAAATGACAAAGATTAATTACTATAATTTTTAAAACTCATTTCTTTTGTAGCAGGCTTATTCATACTGCCACCAGATTTGGCCACCAGAAGGGTAACTTTATCTGCTGCAATGTCAGAGCAGAGGGAAGGCTATCCCTCATCAGGGAAGGCTTCCTACAGGCTCTGTTTTTGCTGAGTGAGAAAGTCCTAATCTTATCATGCTCAGAGCAAGTTTACCTGGCTTTTTTTTGTGATGTTACAGTATACGTTGAAACCCAGTGGCCCCAGGCCAAAGTTGAGAGTAAAGTTTGCCTTTTTGTTTCTGTGTTTTTAATCTGAGTATCTGCTCAGATGTTTAGTGTGTTTGATATTGGTTGATGTTTGAAGTTGATTAATTTATCTGCTGTCTCATCATTAACAATATATATATTTATAAATATATAGTTAATATATAGTTGGAAGCATCTAAGGAGCCCACTTTGCTGTCTAAAGTTGGACTTTAGCAGAATTTAAGCACTCCAGATCAAAGAGCAATCCTGAAATATTTTTTTTAGTGAACATTTTAATCTTTGAATGCATAATGTTTGCTCAGGGTCTTGGTTCTGGACCACAGCATTTCCTGTATATTTCAGCTCCCTAGTGTACATATAAATGCACACTAGGGAGTGCTAGTGACTTTCATCACTGGCTGGTGCTCTGCTGGGGTCCAGACTGGTGGCATAGAGTTGAGTCTGCTACAGTCCTTGCGAGGGATAGTCTCTGAAGTACAGAAATAGCACTGGGGCCAGTGCAAATCACAAATGGTGTTACCAGTCTCTATTCAGAAATATAGCTTGGGAAAGGGAAGACACTAACAAACATTTTCATACTGTAACTGAATGTTACGTCAAGTGAGACATCCAGGCTTTGAGCATCGTTTTTCACTTCTGATGTGTGTCATGAGAAAGGCATCCATGTCTAAACAGCAGAGGCTTCTTGTAGCTGACTCGTAGTCAGTCTGCTGCTTTCTTGGTCTTCTGCTTTGCATCCCTTGGATTTCCTTCTGCACCATAACCCATTTTCAATTACTCTGCAACAGAGGGGGCAGGGTATGCTTCCACTAGAGGAATGATCAGAGGAAATTTGAATTTGTGTGTGTTCAAATCCCATCTAGCTGAGGAGGAAATTGTACTGAGGGCTCCCATTTTTTAAGTGGCACATCAGCCACATGTTTTGGGAAGCCTGAGCCCTGTTCATTTAAATGTTCTTCCATAGAAGAAGGTCTCAGATCCAGGCACACCAGGGTGTTTGATGCGTAGTGCTTGGCTGGGCTTTGAAGCTGTGAGTTGGAGTCAAATCCTCTGGGTTGAATTTGTTCAAGGACAGGTTGTATAGTGCTTTAAGTAAACCTCGTCTAGTGGAAGGTGTTCCTGTCCTTGGCAGGGTCTTTGGACTAAGTGGTCCTTGAAGGTTCCTTTTGACCCAAGGCTTTCTGTAGTTCCATTTAACAAAGCATTCTGCAAAGACTTGAGTTGGATTCAGTGGACTTTAAGGTTGCACATGCTTGAAAAGTTTGAAACATACATGCTATCTCTTTTAATAGTGGCTTAAACACTATAGTTCATATTAAAGTTGGTAACTAAAATATAGCAATGATCATTGACTCCAAAAACTGAAATCAGAAATGTTTTGTAGACCTTGGAGGGAAAAAGCCCTGTGGCCCTGGATCATATGCCCAGCTGGATGTATTTTTGCCTAGAACATGAAATGGGAAGACCAAGAAAAAATTTTATTGCCCAAAACCTGGGGAGAAAACTGTTGCATAGGCAGGCTAATGCACCAGGTCACATGTTGGCTAGCCACAAGTAAGAATGAGTTTGAACATGATTTTTTTTATAAATAATGACATAACATTTTGTATGTGTGTTCTAGAAATACTTAGGTACATTTTCTGTATATGTTTAGTGATATTCTGGTTTAAAGAATTTTTCCTGTATCTAAATGTTAATGTTCTGTTTCTGTTAGAACTGCAGTGAAAAATGGGTTTCAGATAATACATGCCGGTTTGCTGGCTGTTACAGTGCTAGAGTCCGTGTCCTGAAGCTCCCTTTTACTCTGATGTCTGGATTTTGTTTTGTTTATTGGAGGAAGTGTGGCCTGGTTTTCTGGGATTTGGCTGTCTGAAACTTTTAATTACGCTTGAAATGGAAGGTAAAACATCTGGATGGCTGTCATCAAATACTCAGAGCAAAAACTTTATCACCAGTGGAGATCCTACAGTAATTTTCTCTGGGGAGTGGTAGAGCAAATTCCTCAGGTTCCTTGCCATTCTGGCTTTATGTGATGTGGAGATAAAGGATTCTTTTGAATATAATAACACTTTAAATCCAACATTTTCAAAAAGGGGTTGATGACTTTCCCCTGCCCTCAGAAAGGTCTTTGCAGAAGGCAGCTCTCCTGTTAAGATGTTAAGAGGATGTACTCAGCTGAGACATGACAGCAGCCTTCAATTATGTGAAAGGAAACTGTGAAGGGAAACAAATGAAGTATTTTTCATTCAGATGGGAAAAGAAGCAGCAGGCTTATACTGAGAAAGGGTGAGCTAGATGATTGTTGTTATGGTGAGGTTAAAATTTTCCCTGGTGAATATTGCCCAAGGAAGTTATGTTGGAAGGTGTTTAGAAGAGATGAGACAAAAATTAGGCTAAAGGTAAAGAATAGACTAAAGACCACTTGAGGATTCTTCAGGATTTTTTTTTAAATTAAATATACCTGACACTTTCAGAGGGAGTACTTAAACTGAATAGGAGTCTGCTGTGAGCTACTATATTTGAGTGTAAGTAGATGACAGCTTTGCTCAGTGTATAAGTGTTTCTGAAAAAAATGCTTATTGACTTTTTGACTACATAACTAGTCTCTCTGCTAGGGGATTGCGTTCTGTCAGACAGTTTATCTTGTAAATATTGATATAGAGAGGAAATTTGGCAACAATTTTGCTGTTGACTTCAATTCTTATTATTTACACCAATGTGTGCACATACCTATGTATGCTTTGTGAGCTTCACCTTACCATTGCCTCTGGAGTGTATAATTTTCAATTACTTCTTCTGAAGTGGTTGGGTACAGGGGAAGAAGAAGTCTGTTGAATAGGGATCATAAATTTCAATGAAATTTCATGAATAACTGGAAGCCTAGTAGATTTCAGATGATTGTTCTAAGAGCTGTAGGGTAACTCCCCTTAAATACTTGACCTTGTGGAAGCACTCTCATATTTAATTTTATACTAAAATATCAGTGTATAGAACAGGTTGAGTGGCACTTGAGAATATTTTATTTATCACTTTTAAATTGCAGAGACTTTTTGTTTGAGAATATATGTAGACAGATAAATCTTTCTTTGAATAAAGGCCAGGGAATTGCTTGAATGATGATTCATGATCTAGTGATTAAGTAATTGTTGTATATCTTATTTTAAGCTTCATCCCATTGCACTTGATGATTATTTGCTGAGAAGAGAGGAGAGGAATGATTGGCACAGGAGGTCACCTTTCTGAGGGGAGAGAAACAAGAATTTTGTGGCATATTTTATGCATGTGGATGTTAGCTTAGCTTATAGCTCTCTCTACTCTTACCATCCTGATAAATAGCCTGCCTTTAAAAATCATACCACTTTTTTTTTCTTTTAAATTTTTTAATTTAGATACTTGGCTGTGTTGCCAGATGTTTTGTGTTGCTGAGACAATACAAAGCAGTGGGAAAATTGCCCCTTAACAGTCTTCTGCAGTATATTGGGGCATTTACTGATGCTGAATGCTATACTGTATATAAAGAAATAAATAAATAATGGATTATCTAATTCAAACTGTTTTCTTTGACTGATGAAATTAGATGGTATTTGGATATCCTTTAGCTCCGCATACGCAATTAAGTATCTAACTGTTGATTTCAGTGAAAGACCAAAAGTGTTTCTGCTGAAGTAATTTTTTAAGTCTGAACCTGAGCTGTGATATTTCTGCAGGTGATAACAAGTGTCTTTTAATGCCTCCTAGCAAATAAAATGCTGGTTTTTTTTACTGATGATTTTGTTTTGCTTGCTGTGTTTTTTCAGAGTCTAAACATAAAGAAACTCTTCTCCAGCTTGTGATCAAATTGGGCTTGGTTAAGCTTTCGCTGTTCCTGGAAGCCCAGCCTGGAGGGTCATTGGCATTAGCATTATCTAGTGAGGAGGGAGCAACACCATTAGATTTGGCTTTACAACATGAACACTCCAAACTAGTTGAGGCCTTCGCAAAGTGAGTAAAATGGTTTACTGCTTCCTCTGAAAATGTCCTGTCAGTTAAGGCATGTGGGTAATGCTGTTGTTTATCTTGAAAGAGTTGCCTATTTTGTGCTAGTTTCTGCTGCTTTTTGCCAGTATTATCATTTTAAGGGGTAAACTTGTGTTTACAGTTAAAGGAAGTTTGTTATTTGCATCTTTCATTACATTTGCAAGTCAATTAATAGTCAGTTAAATGACAGAGGACCAGCTGCACCATCAGGTACCTCTCCCAGAACTATTGCAGCTGAATCCTGATGCATTACAAACAAGAAAAGACATTCCTTAAAAAATATACATAGAAGTATTTGCTATAAGCAGAATCATAGGACCTGACTTTCATGAAACTTTGGCAGACTGTGATCTCTCTAAAGCTCAAGTTTGAACAAATAAAGGAGAGTCAGCAATAAAGACAGTGCTGCATTTATGACTGTTTTGCCAGAGAGCTGCCACACTGATAAATGACTTACAGGACAAGTGTTTTCTGGCACCTTTCAGCTGTCTGGAGTTCCGTCTGTACAGTCCTGAGGACCTGCATGGGGGGTGTGTGTGTATGTGTCTTGGGATACCAAATATTCAGCATCAGACACCCCTTCTTACTCTTGACTTTTCTTTGCAAATAGAGATACACAAAAATTGGGATACATTTTTACTCTATTATATGGCTCTTTTGGTTCTGGCTCCAAGCAGCCTACAGTTTATGTGAGACTTATCTATACTTCAGTATGGTGAATTCTGTTATGACTGTCTCATTTGTTTGTAATGTCCAAACAATACTGTATTCCCTTGAGATACTTTGTTTTTCACTGTTGTGGGATAACAAATCTGCTAGCTGCCAGTTGTGTCCTATGGCTATATATGGCAACATTTACAGGAAAAGGTACAATTGCTCACTTATAACAATCAGGAGAAATAGGTGTTGTCATAGCTTGCTCCTTCTGGCTTCTTTTACTAGTGAGTAACCATCTAGAGCTAATATTGTTTTTTCCCAGTTGTTAGCTAGAAGTAGCTGTGTGTTCTTAAGGCTCAGAGGAGTAATTGGTATTGTTTGTCCAGCTGTGCTTTCAGTGAATGTTTCAGATTTTCTGCCTCTGGTTTTTGCAGTGGGTGTGTTGGGGTCCTGACGGGTTGTGCCGAAGGTGAGCAGGAAGCTCACTGGGGCCATGCTTTACTTCTACCTGTGCACAGAGCACTTTAAAGAGTGATTCATTCCAGCTTCCAGGGCAGTCACTTGCTTGACATTTCAAGAGCAGAGATCTGCGATGGTGCCTGCGTGCAGTTTGTTCATGCACTGGGAGCTCTGATGCTGACATTTAGCCACACTGCACAGCACTTGCTGGAGTTGCACATTAAGCTCTTCAGAAAATACTTTTGGGCAGACCTCCTCTTTACCAGGTACTATAGCTTTTCTTCATAATTTCCAGCTCTAAACTTTTCAGGCTGGATTTGTTTTTTCTCAAGTAACCCTTTAGTTTAAGCTGCCTGTGTCACTAATCACCAGCATAATTGCATGATTAATGTTGTGGGCTTCTATTTTGTGTAAGTGTAGCACACTGTATGACTGAAGCTGGAGCATAAGAGATGTTAAGCTTTGTCAAAGCCTCCTTTGCCTCCCAAGTTGTTTTTTAATTATGGTGGACTCTATGATGAGTATCTTTCCCTGAAATCTCTATGTCTTCAATGGCATCACCATTGTATTCATTTTAATACTTTGAAATATTTAATGTAGTTCAATTTTTTTGTTTGGTACTGTGATGCCTGGGAACCTTGATCAAGAGCCAGCCCTGGTCTATTATTTACAGCAGAAATAGAGTATAGACTTTTGCTATAGAGTTTAGTTATGATATGGTTGGTCTTATTTCAGTGTAAGCTGTCTGAAGCACTATTCTGATATCCTTCAGGACATCTCAATTTCAGCAAAATAAGGAGGAGAATGCTTGCATGTACAAGTTCTTTAATAGCAGTGCAGAATTGAGATTGTACAACTATATAAAACTAGTGAGCTAAAAACATACTAAAAGTTGGCTTTTTTCCTGGTCTTGAAATTCAGCTTTTCTTTTTCATGCTTTGCTTCAGGTTTCCTTGTTTGTGCACTGATTTTCTTGAGTTATCTTTATTGCATTCTGTATTATTTTTTTTAAACTTAGAAAATGATTTGTATATTGTGTATAACAGAGAAACTTAATGTGTATGTTGTATAGTCCTTATGTATAATCTTGTGTAACTACATTGTCAAGAATTTGACTTGTTCCAATGCAAAGAAGTTGTTCTGTGTAGCTTGCAGAATCCCTACAACTGTGTGTGGCTTTTCCATTGAGACAATAGTAAACCTCAAAGGAAATCAAGACTATAATCAAGAATGCATTCTTATTTTTATAACTGGATTTTTCTTGCACTCATAAAATCTTCATTTTTCCTTCAGTCTGTGAAATGGGAAAAAAAAGTGTAGTATGTTAGATATTCTCAAAGACAAAGACTCTTAAAGGCTAAAAATTCTGCACTTGGTATTTTCAGGAAAAAACCTACTGCCGTGGATTTGTGAGTTCCCCTTTTGCTCATTCCTCTGGTCGCAGCAGTCTAGATTCTATTATGGGGACCCTGATCCCCTTCTGCTCAGCATCAGTGTTGCACCACTTTTAATAAAGCAGAAAGAAACCAAAATAATTGGGAAGATCACATGTTTATTTAGTCAATTTCTTATACACCAGATATCATCCTGGATTATATGTGAGATGATCAAACTGTCATGTTTAGACTATGTACTATGTCCAAAAGGAAAGGTAAAATTAATTTTATCTCTATTGTAAACAAGGGTTTTGAGCACTTTAGTTATATGCAAAGCACTGGTAGGGAATTAGAGATTTTTGGTGGGCATTAGAGATTTCACAATACATAGTCTTTTTAAAACAGAGGTAGAATTTGTTGCTGTACTGGAGTATTTATCTCATCTGCAGCAGACTAAGGCTGTATAACTGGTATCTTGAGACTGCATAAATGACCACATTGCTATTTTATGCTTGAGTCAGAGAGTCATGAACTTAAGAGAAGGAGCTCGTCTCATTTGTGGTGGCATGCAGCTGTGGATTTGTGTGAAATGGCTGACTTAGGGAGGAGCACAAAATATTTTTGCATTTATTCCTGCAATAAAATACTAATTTTTGTCAAGTGTGTTCTTCATTCTCTGCTCTGTGGGCTCTTTTAGTTCCTTGAGTATTCCTTAGAAGTCTAAAATGGTAATGGAAGAGTTAAAACAAGCAAACTGTCAGTAATCTACAATCACCTATAGGGGAGCCATGCCTCCACAAAACAGTTCAGAAAGGGAAAACTCACAGGTTTTGTGACTGTGCTAGGCAATACAGAAGAGAGATTTCTGAAGATGGTGAGGAACACGTGAAATTGCTTGAACTGTGTGTGACCTTCTTGGGGCAGAGATTGCTGTGGTGGTAGTGGTGCCTGTCAGTGGGGCTGTGTGGTTCATTGTGCCAACCCTGGAGACCTAGACAGGGTGTAAAGGTGATCCACTTGGCTGTCTCAGCTGCTGGGCAGCACAGCCAGTGCAGGGGAGAGGTCAGAGGAAGAGAGATCCGGAAAAGAGATCTGGGGACTGCTGGACACTTTTGAAATGGTGTCAGAGTAATGAAAAAACCAGAAAGGTCAAACCAGGATAACAATCCGAAATTATTAAGATAATTTATGATAATTTAAGTAATTTTATTACATGGTGGTGAACAGATTTAGTAGTTTCACAAGGAGGAGATGACTTCTGCCTGGTAGGCATGGGAATAGGAACTGCCTAGCACACCAACAGATGAGCAGAGAAAAATGCAACTAGCCCCACTGAGGTGGGGATCATAGCTTGACAACTTCATGGCTTTCAAATCAGTTTGGCTGCAATATTCAGCCCAGGGTCATCCCTGACTGCTTCTTTTCTGTTTAGATTACCACGTCTTTACTCTGCTGCTCTTGGTAGGTGGCAGATACATAGGCCACGCACAAGGAGCAAGTGGAGCTGTAGAGGAAACCACACAAAAGGATACATTATTTCTTCCTGCCCCCTTGCTTGTAATCTCCGAGGGTAATTGCTGAAATAAGAGTCTGGATCGTAGTCCCCAGTTTCTTTTGAGTAGGAGTGATATAGGCAGTGTGCATACGAGTGAGGGGGCAGACTGGCCAGGGGCCACAGACGTGGGAAGAGAGTGGCTCCTGCCTTCCAGGCTGGATTTACCATATAGCTAGTGTATAGACCTGGTTTATTCTCTTTATATTGCCTATCCATCAAAACTGCTTGCGGATGCTTTCAACATAAAGTAGACTTCTGAACAGAGCTGTTGTGCAAAGGCGCAGCGCTGCTTTTCTCATAAAGAAGTTCTAAGTAGTGAAGTACAAATGTTAAATCTGATCCTTTATATCCCCTGTGTATTGTAAGCAGGAGGTAACTTCTCTCTGTGGTTAGAAATATTTTATTGGTTTCCCTCTTGAGGAATTGCTGTTGGTTTCCCTTAGAAAGTAGCCAATAAAATATTCCCAGTGGAATCTATCAGTGATTTTAGTATTGCTTATAACATATTGATTTGGTAGTCTTTGATATTATTCTTGAGTTTTCAGATAATGTCTTGGGCATCAAATACAGTTACTGTAATTTTTATTTTTTTTTATAGAGTATTAATTCCAACCAAGTTGAGACAGTGGAAGGTCCAAAAATACCCTGCAGTACAACAAGCTCTGTAGAAGGTACAGGTTTTTTTCCGTAATGTTGCAATCTTTAAAAGCTCTAGAAAGTCGGCACAGATTTCTACACCATTTATTTACCCAGGAAGATCACATTTCACGTGATGTTAGAGACCTTTAAGTAAAGAACAGTGGAATATGTACGTCATACATTATGAGAGTTCTGTAAGTCGTGATGTTCCTTACAGAGCATCGGTTTTCCAATGTCAGACTGAAATTGTTCACAAAATATTATGGCATTTATACTGACTGGAAAAGCCTTAACTGATTTCATTTAAAGAGCCAGAAAAATGTGAGATAGTTCCAGGAGAGGGCAGTATTTAACTGAATGAATGCTCCAGCCTGCAAATTCCAGTAAAGCCAAATAAGTTAATAAAGATAGGAGCAGAGTAACGTTTTGTATGGGTAGTTTTGGAATCCAGCCCAGACTTCTTAATGTGACAAAATTTTCATTTGTTTCCATTAGGCATTCAGTATTTTGGTGAGTGGTTTACCTCTAAGGGTTGCAGGACTGTACTTGTGAGAAAGCTCTTTCATTACCAGAATATCTCCATGTGTACTTCAGAGCAAGCATGTCTTAGATCTGAGGAGAAAATCTCAAAAAAAAAGTTCATTCTTCAGTGTCAGAAGTGCGAGGCTTGGGGGTTTACATATGATAGTTAGGAATGAATTAAAAGTTTTCATCAGTTGTCCATTTGCTTATGTAGCTGGCACTGTATATTTGGATGAAGCAACGAGCTGAAAACTGAGAGCTCTGTGAGAGAGAGGCTCGATCTTGCTTCACTTACTGAGCGCAGCAGAAATGTGAGCACCTGCATAAACTACTGACAGCACCAGGACAGGACTGAGGAAAAGAAAAGTGACTGTAGATCCAGGTGTCATTAGCTAGTAACTTCAAGTGAATGGGCAAAATAGGGACATAGTCATTGTGTATTTAAATATGTATGCTGCTATTGTTAGTATTGGAAAAGGAGTTTTATACCCAACTTCTCTGGCAGTGTTCAGGCAAGTGTTCTGCCATTAGAAGTTAAATTTGCAAAGAAATGTTAAGCAATTGTTAGCAATTACATCTGTTATTGTAAGTGTAAGTGACTATTTATCATATGAGGTTTGTGAATGACTTTGGTGACACAGTGTGTAAATGCATTGATTCTGGGTGTTCATCTGAGAGCTGTGCTCTGACCAGCGTGATCTTTATGCTGCATCTTGGGGATAGAAAGTGAATGGCTTGCATTGGTAACACTATATGTGGTAGTAGCTTGACCAGTGTGACTCCTAGGTGATGATTACTTCAATATTTTTCAAAAAAGCAGTTTTAATTCAGTCTGACTTGATGCAAGCAGAGTGCAAACATCAGTGAATATTCATTGCCCAGAAAGAGAATTGACAGTTCAGGATGTCTACTCTCATTTTGGATTCTGGTTGTTAAGCTGCTCATCCTCTTTGCCAAATACTTTTCTCATAGAGGATGAGCAGCAAAGATATTTGGCACAGATAGTGGCATAGGCACACCCACCTATATGTGTTTTCTGTGGAAGCTATACGCTTTTGTGCCTTCATGCATCAGACTTATTTTGTGCCTAGTTTTAAAAAGAAAATACATTTCAATTCAACAGCAGGAAAAACATGCCACGTTTTGTTACTATTCAGGACCTATACAAACAAATGGTAGTAAGCATACTTGCACTTTGTTATTTACTTGTAGACATAAGAAGCCTGTAACTACTGTCTGTACACTGTTAGGCAATGAAGTTTTTCATCTTCTTGCATTTTAATATTGTCATAGGTTACCATATTTCTGTAAACAAGACTTCTCTCTAGCTACCACCAAATCAAAAAACCTAAAAAAAACGTGAATGGTGATTACTGGTAACTAGTAGCTTGGTTTACACTCTCCACCGGCCAGCATTCAGGAGATCAAAAAACCCTTTGTTTGAGATTGAGTTAAAATTGTTGCTTCTAGAAGCAGAAATTTTATGAAATGACTGCACTTTTTGCTATGTTCTCAGTTACATTCTCCTTTATAAAGTGACTGCTAAGCTCAGGACTTTATTTTGGCATATTCATATCATGAAAGTATCCCCCTCAGATTTCAAAACTGCTGCCATTCCTAGAAGTAGCAACCACTCGCTTCTAAAGTCAAGATCAGCAGACCTTTAGAACACAATGCTATCAGAAGCCCTGAGCTGTTATCGAGAGGAGGTTGCTATAGCAGTATTTTGCTTCTTGTGAAATGCAGTCATGAAAGCAGTGGGTCAGTGTAAGGTGGTGCTGCTGGCTTAGTGGTGAACTCCCATAGCAACTTAATTAAATTCAAATACATGGAGTGAAATATAATCCAGTGAGGATGCAGCATAAAAAGTGAAATAAGGTGGTAATTCTGTAGTTTGTGCCTTTTTTTTTTTTCTGTTTTCTGAATAAATTTCATTATTTAAAATAGATTTACTAGATAATGTGTTCCTGAAAGCCTGAGTGATGCTTTTGTTCATTTGCATTCCTGTAACCAGGTAGCCAGATTACTCCTCTTTGCTGTTTCACAGTAGTCCTTCAGGGTACATTTGAGCAAAACTTGGAAAGCATGGGGGATTTTTTTGGCATATACTGTGTCCTTCCCCACAGCCCTTCAAAGAAACCATAAAAAAGGGGGGCGGGGAGGAAGAAAAAAACTGACAGAAGTGATTTTTTATTTTTTTTACTTTTTGGGGTTAAAAATACGAGGTCTAATTTCAGAAAAACTGCATGAAACCCCTGCAGAAGAAAAGCAGAGCTCATCTGCTCAGCAGTGTTGGTGTGAGGCACAGCACTGGAACTGTTGGTTTTCTGAGCGTGTGGGGGTTAATCAGCAGCTGGCTGACAAATTGCAGTGCTTCATCCTTGAGACAGCATGGTTTATTACATCTGAGCAGTTAGTCTCTGAGAGAGACCTTGTGGGTAACTGTGAGTCCTTAACTGGACTTTAGTGGGAAAAATGCTTGATGTAAAAAATATGGCAGGTCCCATTGTTGGCTTCTTGGAGGTATCTAAAGAGTTTTGGGAGAGAATATATGTGAGAAGTTCCATTACAGTTAGTCAGTCATATTTGATCTCTAGTATTATATTCTGCTTTTTGTTTATAGGTATCTGTTTACAAAACCAGAAGATCTTGGTCTTGGTATTTTTTAATCACCTGTTAAAGCAGCAGCTTGATTATTACCTGGGTATGACACTAAAATAGTAATTCAGTAATTAAGAGAAACAAAATCTGATCAAATCTGGAAAATTTGGTGAAGATTTCTCAATGCCAAGTGACTGCTGCTTTTTCTTTTTTTTTTTTAAATGTTTGAATTTAGTGAAATATTGCTGAGTGACACTTTTGTTAGGTCATTTCTATAAATGTGGTGATGACTGTAAGGTTTTTGTTTGGTTTGTTTTGGTTTTTTTCTTGTTTTTAATTTTAATTACCACCTGTGTGGAAGATTGATCCATTTGTTCGAGATTCACGTGTTTCTCTGCAGTATGCACTCATTTTTGGTGTCTATGTTGAAAGTGTATATTGGAGCAGAGTGTTGTAGCTGAACAACCTTGTTAGGGGAAAAGATTCTGGTTCTGTATTGACTGCCTCTTGTTTTGATCTAGCAGAAAGGCTGTAGCTGACTTTGTAAAGCATGAACTGAACTGTGACAGATGTGAGCAGATCAGGCACTGGAAATAGGCATCTTAGAAACACATTGCTGTTTCCTCCAAAGCACAGTATATTGGCTAGTCAGAGTACAATTAAACTTGTAAGAAAACAGGCTGAAAATTGAAGTTTGTGGTGCATATGTTAGAGTCTGGAAGTAACATACCATGTCAGTTGCATTTATGAAAATGGCTAAAATGAAGTGGCTGCTGCTTGACAGTGTTTGAACTAAATTCTGAAAGCCTATAGGACAGCTTACAGCTAAACACAAATACAACTATTTGTCTTCAAAGATAGAGCTCAAGTTTTCTGTTCCTAGCCTTTCCAAGACTATGTGGTTCCTTTGAAAGAAAACGAAGATCATGTCTTGTTGGGCATTGGTAAGAAAGAATTAATAATTTTGACTTCTAAAAGCATACTGTGATGCCAATTACACACAAGGCAATTTCTTTAAAAGAGGTTAAGGTAATTGACATTGCAGCCTAACTTGGCAAAGGATCAATCAATTATATCTATGTCGGTGGGGGAGCATCTTTCAAACTGTCTCTAGCATACATTGGTGGTGTATCCAACAGTATCATGATACCAGGATTTTTCAGTAGTATATTAGCTGTTGTAGCAACAACAGTCTTGAAAATACTGTCTGATAAAGCCATGTATGTGACTGAAGGTGAAACGAAGCATGTGGAAATGTTTTGATGCAACAGTGAGTTGTGGGGCTGGTAGGAGAATATAGCCAGTACATATAGCCAATATAAACAGTACATTTAGAGACTGTAACTCAGCTGGAAAGGTGTTTTCAGGTTTTGCGGAAAGCTCCAAGAGCAATATGCAAACATCAGCTCATGAGAAGCACGAGATGGAAAAAGATGATGAGTAACTAAGCTCTGCTAGTGGGAGCTGCTGTGCCAGGCAGAGACTGACATCACTGGCCTGTGGTTCGGTGTTGAGCTCAGAAAGAGCAGCCCAAATGGTGGCATTCAGACAGCCTGTACACAGACTTTGGTGCTGCAAAATGAAGATTTGCTCTGCGTGTGCAGAAAGGGTGGGATATATGTGCGTGAATGGGGGTGGCATATGTTAGAGGGAAATGAACTGATGTAGACATAAGATAAGAAGCTGACAGATAGTTATCTCAGTAAAATCAGCATCTATTAATCAAGTTTTTTAGTTATTATGGCAAATACTTGTACTCCAGCCATTTAATCGTTTTGTCTCACTGCTTGTCTCACTGTCCCAGCCAGAGAATATGAGAGCTACATAAGGGAATTGGGGCTAGTAGCAAAAATATCAATATTCACAATTAGCCTAACTTTGGTGCTTTTGAGAATAGGACACTATC